CCATCCATGTTATATGAAAGGAAAGGATGTCTTCCTTTTTTATTGCTGGGTTCCACTGTATAAGTATGCCATTGTCATTAATTCATCTGTCGATTGATACTCAGTTGTTTCCATATCTTGATTATTGCAAATAATGCCACAATGAATTTAAGGGTGCAGACATCCGAGATGTTCACAAGTATGTGGGAATTAAACCACACACTCATGAACAGCTGGTGGGTGAAAGAAGAAACCAAAAAGGAAATTTAAAAATCTTTAATCAAATGAAAATGGAAACACAGTCTATCAAAACTTATTGGATTTTGCAAAAGAAACTCTAAGAGGGAAGTTTATATCTATAAATGTCTACATTAAGAAAAATAAAAGAGCTTTTATAAATGGAATCGTTTCTCTAATTTCTCTTTCTACAGTTGTATTGTTAGTATATAAGAAAGTAACTGATTTCTGTGCATTAATTTTGTATCCTGCCACATTACTGAATTGCTGTATGAGTTCTAGTAATTTGGGGGTGGAGTCTTTTGGGTTTTCCACATAAAGTAGCATGTCATCTGTGAAAAGAGAGAGTTTGACTTCTTCTTTACCAGTTTGAATACCTTTTATTTCTTTTTGTTGTCTGATTGCTGTTGCTAGGACTCCTAGTACTATGTTGAACAATAGTGGCGAGAGTGGGCATCCTTGACGTGTTCCTGATCTTAAGGGACAGGCTTTCAGCTTTTCCCCACTGAGGATGATATTCGCTGTGTGTTTTTCATAGATGGATTTTATGAACTTGAGGAATGTTCCCTCTATCCTTATACTCTGAAGAATTTTAATCAGGAAAGGATGCTGTATTCCATTTACAATAGCACCAAAAACCATAATATACCTCAGAATAAACCTAACCAAAGAGGTAAAGGATCTATACTCTAGGAACTATAGAACACTCATGGAAGAAATTGAAGAAGACACAAAAAGATGGAAAAAACATTCCACGCTCATGGATTGGAAGTATAAACATTGCTAAAATGTCTGTGTTACCCAGAGCAATCTATACCTTCAATGCCATCCTGATCGAAATTCCAATGACATTTTTCAAAGTGCTGGAACAAACAATCCTAAAATTTGTATGGGATCAGAAAAGACCCCGAATCGCCAAGGAAATGTTGAAAAAGAAAAACGAAGCTAAGGGGAACACATTGCCTGATTTCAAGCTATTTTACAAAGCAGTGATCACCAAGACAGCATGGTACTGGCACAAAAAAAAAAAACACATAGACCAGTGGAACAGAATAGAGAACCCATATATGGGCCCTCAACTCTATGGTCAAATAATCTTCAACAAAGCAGGAAAAAAAATATGCAATGGAAAAAAGACAGTCTTTGGGGTATTTACCCCAAAGATACAGATGTAGTGAAAAGAAGGGCCATATGCACCCCAACGTTCATAGCAACACGGTCCACAATAGCCAAACTGTGGAAAGAGCCCAGATGCCCTCCAACAGATGAATGGATAAAGAAGATGTGGTCCATATATACAAGGGAATATGACTCAGCCATCAGAAAGGATGAATACCCAACTTTTACATCAACATGGATGGGACTGGAGGAGATGATGCTAAGTGAAATAAGTCAAGCAGAGAAAGTCAATTATCATATGGTTTCACTTATTTGTGGAACATAAGGAACAGCATGGAGGACATTAGGAGAAGGAAGGGAAAAATGAAGTGAAGGAAATCGGAGGGAGAGATGAACCATGAGAGACTATGGACTCTGGGAAACAAACAGGGTTTTAGAGGGGAGGTTTGAGGGGGGTTTGGTTAGCCCAGTGATGGGTATTAGGGAGGGCACGTACTGCATGGGGCACTGGGTGTTATAGGAAAACAATGGATCGTGGATCACCACATCAAAAACTAATGATGTATTGTATGCTGACTAACGTAACATTAAAAAATTTTTTAAAAAAAAGAAAGAAATCCATGGTACCCCGTGAAATAAATGAGAATTTCCAAATATTTTTGATCAAGGTTGGAAAAAACTTTTAAAAGTATATTGTGGACAAAGGGGAAAACTCTCTGTATATTAGATAGAGTAGAAGGTTAATAAAATGAGTTATTTTAAATATATGGAGAAGTTGAATTCAAACAAATGGAAATTCCAGGAAATATATAGAAGGAGATGTTTCTACCTCCACAGTCTGATCAAAGAATGGCACTTCCTGGCTCTCAGGCTCTGAGCCCTGCAATCATGGGCACTTCTTCAGCCCCAGAACGACTGGCCCTTACATCACTGGAGCCCCAATGATTCCCTTCAGAGCCCTCTTTATGTCTTTGTTCCTCAGGGTATAGATGAAGGGTTTCAGCATGGGCGTGACCACCGTGTACATCACAGAGACCACTGTACCTGACTGGGGGATCTGCGGAGCAGGAGCGCTAAGGTACACACCAAGCAATGTACAATAAAACAAGGAGACAACAGAGAGGTGAGATGCACAGGTGGAAAATGATTTATACTTGCCTTGAGCTGATGATATTCTACATATGGCAGAAAGAATCTTAGAATAAGAATAAAGGATCCCAGCAAAAGGACCACCACACAACAGGACAAGTGCAAAATACATCACCAAGTTATTAAGAAAGGTGTCAGAACAGGCAAGTTGGATCATCTGAATGAGTTCACAAAAGAGGTGGGAGACTTGGAAGTGTGTACAGAAGGACAACCGCAACATCATTAAACTATGTAACAAGGAATTCAGGATAGACGTGATCCAGGACACCAGAACCAGCAGTCCACAGAGCTGGGGGTTCATGATGACTGTGTAGTGCAGGGAGTGGCAGATGGCCACAAACCGGTCATAGGCCATCACACTCAGGAGAAAGATTTCTGACCCAGCAAAGAGTATGATAAAATAAATCTGTGTGATGCAGCCTGCGTAGCTTATGACATTGCTCTGAGTCTGGATGTTCCATAGCATCTTGGGGATGGTGGTGGAGGTGAAGCAGATGTCTACAGAGGACAGGTTGGCGAGAAGGAAGTATATGGGGGTGTGGAGGTGGGAGTCTGAGCTGACGGCCAGGATGATGAGCAGGTTCCCCAGCACAGTGATTAGGTACATGCAGAGGAAAAGCCCAAATATGAGGGGCTGCAGTTCTGGGTCCTCTGATAGTCCTAGAAGGTGAAACTTTGAAATTTGTGTTTCATTCCCTGGTTCCATGTGGTGGAGGTGACTTCAAGGACAGAAGCAAATAGCATGACTAATTTTCACACGATCTGGTATTATGCTCAGTTTTTAAATGCTACTTTTTAAATTTTATGTTCTAGAAATTCACTTTAATATGTTGTGCTTACATATGGTCCACTTTAGGGGAACTTCTATACCCCCATAGTTTTGGAATTTTTGTTCCAATCGCTTTTTTTCCGAAGGCCATGTATTCTATAATTTTAATTTAAAAATTATTGTAAGCTTCTGAAAAATAAATTAAGTGCTGTCTACATTTTAGGCATTGTGTAGGCAAGGAGTATGGGGTGGTAAAGAACAAAAGTCCCTATCATTCAATGATGGAGAAAGAATACATGAACAAATAAGAAATTTAAATAATATTTCAAGCGGTGGCAGGTGGTATGAAGAAAAGGAAAGCAGGGATAAAGCAGAGAGTGAATAGGGCATGCTATTTTCATGGGTATGTAGGCCATTCTGCAAACAAGGTGACACTGGAACACAGACCTCATGTAAGACAGAGGGGTAGATGAAGGAATATGGGCGAAGTGTGTGCCCAGCAAAGGGAATGGCCAGTGCAAAAGCGTCGAGGGAGGTACTTGTTTCCAAGGTTCAAGTCAAAGAAGCAAAGCCAGCGCTGCAAGGGGAATGAACAGGAGGGAGACTGAGGAGAGAGGCTGTCCGACATGCTGAGGAGGGAAGTGGCCTCTCTGCTACCTCTGAACCCTCAAGGCACAGGGACATCCTTGTGCACACTGCCTCTCCCACTGTATTCATCGTGTTGCAGAGGCATCCCATGAATTGAACAAGATCCCCTTCTTAGTGGCCCCTGTGTTGTGTCACCTTGGAAGTTATGAGCCCTGGCACCCTGTTGTGGGGACTGCTCACACTCTAAAGTCACACGCATGCAGGACACCATGGCCTCCTGGGTTGTGTGATTCCCCTCTCTTTCTCAGCCTCATCATCCTGCTTATGTTAGGAATGGATCCAACCCAACTAGGCCAGGTAAGTGATCTTTCTCCTGTAAAGTGCAGAAATGCCAATTCTTAAGCCTCCCATGGACAAATAATATATATACATATATACATATTTATGTTTATATGTATATATAGGCATATATATAATTGATTAATTTATTCAGTGCTAATGTCAATTTCACAGAGTGTCTGCTACTCACACTTTTGAGGGTCTTTCATATTCTTTACCATTAAATTGCCATTACTGCAATGCTAGAAGAATTATGTTGAGATTGTTAAACTCAATGTGTGGTTCTAATTGGGTGTAATATATATATTATATATATATATTATATATATATATATAATATATATATATAAACAAAACCAGTTTAAAATGTAAAATGAGTAGTTTCAATACAACTGTCCTAGGCGTATTTGTATGAAAAACCAAAACAAATTGAAATGGGATATAAAATAGCAATCATCAATGATATCGACATGGATTAATAAGTAAATTGGAGGGCGCCTGGGTGGCTCAGTTGGTTGAGCGACTGCCTTTGGCTCAGGTTATGATCCTGGAGTCCCGGGATCGAGTCCCACATCGGGCTCCCTGCTCAACGGTGAGTCTGCTTCTCCCTCGGAACCCCCCCACCATGCTCTCTCTTTCTATCTCATTCTCTCTCTCAAATAAATAAATAAAATCTTTAAAAAAATAACTAAATTGGAAAAAACCTAGATATGAAAGGATATAACATGTAATGTTATATTACATATAATAACATGTAATGTCCCTAGAATGTTCTGGTCCATGACGGGTCCTCAGTTTTTATTTGTTGTATGTGTCAGGAATTAGGTTTCAATGTATAAGGACATTTACTACATGGCAAGATTGCATTTCAGTTTCATTGGAAAAGGCTGAATTGCTAAATAAATGGTGGCATAAAGGGATATCTATTTGGAAGAATATGAAATTGGTCCCCTCTCTCGGATCTTACTCAAACTCAGAGGATTATGACCTCAGTATTGGTGTAACCATAGCATATATTAGAACATGAAGAAAACTACACACAAAAATTTCAGTTGGACAACACCACTTAAATATAACAAGAAACTCAGAAGTAAGCAGGTAGATGGATTTAAATAAAATGTCAATTTTTTATGGTCAAAATATGTTCCAAAAGTCAATTGAGAAATAAGGATCTGAAGAAATCATTTGAAATGCTGATAGTGTTTTAAAAATAAAAGAGAGCTTGAGAAGGAGAATAACATATGGGTATATAATAATAAAACCCAGTAAGAATGATCATCAAATATATGAAGTTCACTGAACCTGAGGGATAGTTTAAGAACAGTAAGAAACATCTCTATCACCAGCAGCCTGGGGAACAAAAACTATATAGAGTTGTTACATTCTTTGTGGTTGGAACTTTTAAACTGGTGGCCAAGGGGTTACTGTGAATTTGCTGGCAGAAATGTAAGTTGTTACAAGATTGAAGGCAGAACTTGAATGCAGCTGTGATTCAAATACTGATATTCTTTACCTCAGGGTTTCTCTATCTTTGCACCATGGACATTCTGGCCAGAGCCTGCCCTGGGGTGTCCTGTGCATTGTAGGGTGTTTAGACATTACCTCCATGCACCTCTCTCCACTGTGACAGGCAAAGCTGGCTCCAGACAGTGATCAATGACCCTCGGGACAAAAATCACACCGGATTAGAACCACACTTTGAGTTTAACAATCTCAACATACTTTTTCTAGCATTGCAATAATAGCAATTTCATGATAAAGACTATAAAAGACCTTCAAAAGTGTGAGTAGCAGTCACTCTGTGAAATTGACATTAGCTCTGAGTCAATCAATCAGTCAATCAGCCAATCAATCAATCAATCAAACAAACACAGGGATCTTTTGCTCTGGGCTAAGTTGAATTGGCTCTCAGGTGATGATTGGTCGATTGTCTTGGCTTCCATTCTGATCCTGTCATCCATGGTCCACTGGGGGGTTGGACTCACCTGGCTGGGGTGTCTGACAGGAAGGTGTCCTGAGGAAGTCTGAATTCCTCCCTGGACAGCAGATGATAGGGCCTAAAGCTCTGTCCTCATCCGAGGCAGGAGGGAGTGAAACATCGAACTCCAGCCAGAATAAGGACTTGGAACAAACAGACAAGAAGCATGGTCCTTCCCATCCAAGGTTGCCCGGGCTGACGGACTGGAGATGAGGACGTATTCACAGCTCCCTCTGTCTGCTCATTAGGCACATTTCCCTCTTGTGATTCCAGTCTCTATGCACATGATTCCCAAGTGGAAAAGTCTCTGGACAGAAAGGATGCTTTCTTAATGAATCTCAGTTCCCAAAAGACAGGGTTAGAGGTCAAGTGAATCCAGTTTTTGGTAATTTTTAAAATTCCTTTTACTCCCTTTCCCTGTACTTGCCCCCTTCTTGATGTGTGAATCTCCTAGCATCTTATCTCAGCTCCAAGTTATAATTTTCTCCCAAGTCTAAGACCTAGTAACCTGCCTGGATTAGGTCTCTTTATCTTCAAAGAATTTACACGTGGTGGGGACCCAGTCCTGCTGTCTCAAGACAGGGTCTGTTCTTCTTTTCAAAAAGGCAGAGAAGAGGCTTCTTCTTATAATATCATACAAGATAATATAATATGATAATATAATAAACCTTGTCCTTCACACACATTGGCTTCAAGACATGTTTGCTGTTACAATTAGGAATTTCTTTATATGTTAAGAGCTATCACATAGCCCTTTGTCATAAAATGGTTCATAATTATAACAGATGTGTTTAGATATTTTTGTGTACTATAACATGAGCTTGCATCTCATAGGGATTGTTTGATTTAATTTTATAAACATCTTATCCCTGAGGAAGTACATTTATGAACTCCAATCTACATTGTAGACATGGTGCTTGATGCTGTCTAGTGATCTGTCCACACTGAATATCCAAGTATGTGGTGGGCCTTGAGTGTCATACAAAAACAATGAATCATGGAACACTACATCAAAAAACAATGACGTACTGTATGGTGACTAACATAACAGAATAAAATTAAATTAAATTAAAAAAAACCCACAAGACAGTAGGAATAGAAGGAACATACCTTAAAATCAAAAAGGCCATGTAAGCACGTGTTGTGATGAGCACTGGGTGTTATATGTAACTAATGAATCATTGAACGCTACATGAAAAACTAATGATGTGCTATACAGTGGCTAACTGAACATAATAAAAAAACACAAAAAAACCAAAAAGGCCATGTCGGATGGACCCACAGCTAATATCCTCCTCAATGGGGAAAAACTGAGAGCTTCTCCCTTAACGTTAGGAACACGACAGGGATGTTCACTGTAGTCAGTTGTTCAACATAGTACTGGAAGTCCTAGCCTCAGCAATCAGACAACAAAAAGAAATAAAAGGCATTCAGGTCAGCAAGGAATAGGTAAAAATATCAGTCTTCACAAATGGCCAACAGATACATGAAAAAATGCTCAACATCCTTCATCATCAGGGAAATACAAATCAAAACCATAATGAGATACCACCTCACACGTGTCAGAATGGCTAAAAGTAACAGCTCGTGAAAAAAGAGGTGTTGGTGAGGATGTGGGAAAGGGGAACCCTCTAGCACCAATGGTGGGAATGCAGGCTGGTGCAGCCTCTCTGGAAAACAATATGGAGGTTCCTCAAAAAGTTCAAAATAGAACTATCCCTAGTACTTTTAAGGTGTTACTTTTTATAGCAAGGAAGGATTAAGGTAGCAGATTGAACGGGATTGCTAATCAACTGCTATTAAGATAAAAAGATTAGCGATGGTTGTCCAGGTGGGACAAGGTAATCACAATGGTCCTCCACATGTTGATGAGGGAGACAAAAGAGTTGGTGTCAGAGAGACTTTGAGAATGCTGCCCTGCTGGCTCTGAAGC